CAACTCCCGCAAAGTCCAGAAGCAGGAGCAGAGGTTGTTTGAAGGACTTCTCGAGAATGAAGAAGCCATTGGAATATAGGCAGTCCCTAGATGGATGGTTTGGAAGTGCTGGGTAACATCTGGCCACATGTTGCACTGGCCCTACATTGCCCAAGCAGAGAGGATCCCCAGAGCATGCTGAGGGTGAATTCATGAAAATGAACTCAGATTAAAGGGCTAAATTCCTAAAGAAATAAAACAATGACCAAAAGGAACTATGAGATATTCTTCATATCTTTGCAACTCTTTCTTGACAACGCTAGTGACTTTTCCTTTCCAGATAAATGTTCTCCCAGGCTTTTGCAGGTTACCCTTGTGCCATTCATAGCTAACTGTGCTCATCCTCTTTCAACCACATCTTGGAGCACCTGAGGAGGGAGACCAGTTGACTTGGACAGGGTTCTTTCCAGTAGCAATGACTTCCTGGTGAGCCATTTACTTATGCCCATGGAATGCTCTGTGTGGCCTTTCCTAAAATTTTTTTTTCCCTATTTCCTCTGCTGCCTGCAAGCACTTTGGGTTTTAATTACCTGGAAATTTGCCCTATTTCTCTGTGTTTCCCTTCGTGTCAACATTCCTTTTTTAAAAAAAAAAAATAATATTTATTTTTAGTTTTAGGTGGACACAAAATATCTTTATTTTACATTTTGGTTCTCAGGATCGAATCCAGTGCCTGATGCATCATGCTAGGGGAACACTTTACCACTGAGCCATAACTCCAGCCCCCATGTCAACATTCTTAAAGAGCTACACCTATCAACTGGGTGAACTTCCTGAAAGCTAGAACATTCCTCATGTTTCTGGATACTTACCAGTCTGCTTTTTAGACCCTGCTCTCCACAGGACCAGTAATTAACAAGGTCCCTGAGGACTTTGAGCTAGCAAACAAGAACATATTTCTCCACCCTGTTATCTTAGAGCTTGCAGAAAACAGCTTCACAGTGTCTTAATTAAGGAGGTAACAACAGGGAGGAAGAAGACAAGATAGAGAGACAAACAATGAATTGTTTCTCAACCTACCTCCCAAGATCACCTCTTAGACTTCACCATCAATCTTGATTCATTTACATCCATATATATGGATCATCCACTATATATAATTTGTAATAGATCTACATATTTTTGTCCTTCCTCTTGCTATCTGCTCTGGTTAATGCATAGCTAAGAAGTTCTCAACCATCTACAAGCTTATCTGGACAGACCTTTTATTCATGTTGGAAATATCATCTTTCTCTGACAAAGTCCACGTACTCCAGAAGAGTAGGAAGCAGATGCAACAGGAAATAGCTTACAGGAGGAATTGACCAGCAATGACCTCTAATTCCTGACCACAAATCAATAGAACAATGGTCCAATCTTCTAATCTTCATTATTGCCCTTTGGTTTGATTAGGTTGAGACTTGGACTTAGCTTGGGATGAACTAGCTCCTAGAGCAATTTAGCTTGACTATCTTAGAAGCTAAACCAAACACTAAAATGATCAAATAGGATGGCCAGTCTCCAGAGCTTGGAAACCAGCCAGTGACCCACCATTAAAGCAATGTTTCTCAAGAGTTTCCATGATAAGGGTTGAGTCTCCTTAAGAACAAGGACTTGGTGTCACTCATCTTTGAGTCCCTGAGGAGGGGGTGCCTGACACAGAGAAGGTACCAGCTACTTCCTGGGACCCAAACTGTATAAACAGACAAAAGTGACAACAAGATTCTTAGGCAACTATCTGAACTGGCTAATGTGAAAAAATTCCAAATAAAGTTTGAATAAAGCAAAGGAGGAGAAGCAAAGGGGGTGGGGAAGAAGGGACATGATGGAGATAAAATCAATTCTTGTTATTCACAGTCATTATGATCTATAAAGTCACTGTGAACACTGGGTTAGTGAATATTGGGGGAAATACTGGGTTAGGTGCTGGTCACATTTTCATCAACTGACGAACCTTGATTTACATGTACTTTCTGTCTAAAGGTGCCTTACTTAATATACAGTTGATTTATTAATATTGAGCCAACATTCAACAGCTCATGTCTGAAGGAAGCTTGTCTAACATACGTGATCTTTCCTTAGGACACTTCATGGCTTTCTTGTGCTTAAAAATACTTAGCAGCACTTCAGCGCTGTGTGTGGGAACCATTTTAAGTCCTGAAATCACCAAAAACAAAGAATTCAAAAAGATATAGCACTAAGTGAATTGCTAAAACAAACAAACAAACAAACAAAACCCCACTTGTTTATAGTATGAGAACTGAAATAGCATCAGGTGACTCATTTCTGCACAGATCCGTAAGTGCCATAAAAGTACTTCAAGTACTGATTATGGTAACTTTTAGCAAGTGGGCAAATTTTCAAGCACAAATCCACAAATAAGGAAGATCAGCTGTATGTATATCTGTGTGTTTGTGGGCTTATTTATTTACTTTTATTTGTAGATTAAACAATATTCAAGACAAACTCAAAGATGTTGGCTATTTATTTATTTTTGTGTTCCTGGGAATTAAGTCCTGGGGTGCTCTACCACTGAACTACATGTCAGCCCCCTTCTTTGTATTTTTTGAGATAGAGTCTAAGTTGCTGAGGCTGGCCTTGAACTTATTATCCTTCTACCTCAGCCTCCCAAGTTGTTGGATTACAGGTGTGAGCCACCATGCCCAGCAAGAGATGTTGTTGCCTCTTTAAAAAGTGCAGCCTGGCTTAGTCACCAAGACACGGAGAGTGAAGCTAGAAGGTAGAGAGAAGAGTAACAAGACAAAAGCAACTTGCTCCCCACAATGGCAGCCCCTGAAAGCAGTGGTGGTAGTAATCAGCTAGCAGCAGACCCTAAGGGGTCCAGTCTAGAAGGGCTGAGGGGGTTATGTGCTCTCAAGCAAAACAATTGTATTGTTGGTCTATAGTGACATGCATGTGATGCATGTGCAAATGTAGCACCCCTGTCCATTCTGCCATCTCCCACACTTGGCCTTGGGCATGTCAGGACCAGTCCTCTCACCATCTGGAGGCCTCACACAGTCCTATCCTGAGGTTCCTGCATTCAGTGTTCTATCCCAGGGCAGCAACCACAGGTACATGGGAGTTAGAGCTACCCTAGTGAGGAACAGACCTCCAATATGTCATAATCCAACAAGTGATCACCTACGGGCTCCATTTTGAGAGCTGGATCCCAGGGGAAGAGAGAGATGGAAAGAGTCAGGTGATTTGGGGGTAGAAGCTTCATAAATTAAACAAGCAGCCCAAAGAGCTGTTGGGGACATTTTCTTTACAGATTGGTGACATATGCTATTTGGTGAGAATCTCCATTTTGGCAGCTCCTACCCAATGTCTTTTCAAATCTGGTGAAGAAGTGAGTGAAAACAAAACAAAACACAAGGAGCATGGCCAGAGAATGAATGGCCAAGGAGACATTAGTGGATGCTTAAGGGCATCAGTATTGGCTCATCAGGCTCAAAAATTATATCCTTATATTGAGATTCGTATTTTTCAAAGCACTTTTATATAAGTCATCTCATTAATTTCCAGATTAAATTTGTATCATTGAGGGGTCAGATATTAATACACACATATAATCAGTTAACTGAAACACAGGGAAGTCAAGTTATCTGAGCAAGGACATACAATGAATGGCACCAGCCAGCCCTGCAGCCCATGATTTCCTGACTGACTGCATGCCAGGAAGCGGCTCTCAAGTGTGGACCTAGACCCCTCAATTATCTCTTCCAAGGCAGTCCCCCCCATTCACAGCCCCTGGCAGGAAGGGGTGTAGGTAGTACCTAGTACAAAGGGCCCAAGCTCTGGAAGGCCCACCTAGGGGAAGTGTGGGCTTCCGCCCTAAGGACTGACAGATGTGGCAACAGGACCCAGAGCCAGTGATGCTGCTGGTCTGGTTCCCCGAGTTGGGGAACAGCCTGCCAGGAAGGCAAGCCGGCAACCTGTGCCAGGCCAAACAGGCAATTAGCACCCACAGAAACCCTGCTGCCCAGCGACTGCTCAGGGCCATGAAACCCTGGGCCTGCTGGTTCCTGGGCAGAGGGTAGGTGAGTGGGGAGCTGGAGGAGAGTCCCACACAAGGGCCCTGCACTCACCTGCCCCCAAGGTCAGGTGAGTTTGTCAGTTCAGGCAGGGGCCAGGTGGGCCTCAGAATACTGTCCTTTTTCCAGAATCGATTTGCTCTTGCCTCTCTTGGTGGTTAGAGCCCCGTTCTCCTCTTTACCCACCTCCAGTCAAGGTGATTTTTCTGGCTGCTTGTTTTCTAATATTTGCCAAATGCTAATTTTTTATAGTTCCCACTTCCACCAAACAATCCATCACTTTCCCATCTTCCCTCTGTGCCTTTAGATAGACGCATCCTTCAGTCTTCCTAGCACTTTCCCCAGATTGTCTGCACTTGTAATCCCAAGAAGAGCAGAGGCTGATGGAAGAGACACCAGCCCTGATTGACCCAATTGGGAGTGCTGGTACATTCCTGGCACTGCCTATACACTCAACCTGGGACAAGTCAGCCATGGATAAGGAGCTGGGTGCAAATCAGACGCAGTGGCCCAGCCAGGGGTGCATTCTCCCTTGTTCCAAGGAACAGTTTGGATTGGATGGGAAGGTAAGCTCTGAAGCCAAGCTCTGGGGCTTCCTCAAAGTCATTGTCTGACTTTTAGATTTGGAAGCCTCAATCCATCAACCAAGGAGAAAAAGGACAGACCCACATGAGTCAGTGCAGGTGTCTGGGTCAAGGGCTAGAGGACAGAAACACAACCATCTTAGGAAAGCAACTTCTGAGGGGTTAGAGACCACAGCTGGAGCTGAGAGGAGGTGGGAAGAAGAAACCTCTCACCAAAGCCCTATTGCTACCAGTGACTGTGAGGGCTGGCATGTTCCATGGACACGATGAGGAAGGAGAATTGGAAAGTGCAGGGGTCTTCTTCAAGGGAAAATCTTGCTCATCTTCTCTTGCCCTCAGGGGAACCTGGTAAGAGACTCACCTGAAGAAGCCTTTACAGCCTTCACAGGTCATAGCATTGAAGTGGAAGCCTGTGGCTCGGTCTCCACACACCCCACAGATCCGGGGCACATTCCGGTCAAAGTCACCAGGGTCAGGCAGGGAAGTGCTGGCTGCCATCGCCTCCATCCCTGCAAGAATGGTAGTCAGGCCACAGCTAGGGTCAGAGTCAGCTCCAGGGCCAGCTGGCATCCTTTTGCATCGCCATCCTGCCAGAGAGCTCAGCAAAGCCTGGCAGCTCCCTGGGGCCCAAGACAGAGCGTGAGTTCTTTGGAGCTCTCACTGTGTGGCTCTCCTTCCCCAGCTAGCTCAGAGCAAGGCTGGGAATCAAACTGCCTGGGTTCAAATACTGTATCAGCAGGGCTCCTTTAGGTGAGGTACTCGGCCTCTTTATGGCCCCACAGTCCTCATCTAAAGGCATTTTACTTCATAGGGTGCACAGAAAGGTGACCCCAGTGAACACTTACATGATGCTGGTACCAGCTGCAACTCAGTAGCAGATGCCCCCATCTTTTCCACTGTGCCCTTCAAGAGAAAAAATGGGAGTCCCCTAATGCCCAACCCTGAACCCTTGTCATTCCAGATCTTGCTCCTTGCAGCATGTCCTGATATGAAGGTAAGAAAAATCTTTCCCCCTGTTTTTTTTTTTTTTTTTTTTGCAATAACATTTAACATTATATTGAACGTCCTTCTGAGTAATGTGAGTCATATACAATTAACTAATTTTGTTTTCAGAGATGGCTTTTATAAATAGACACTATCATCTAGAGATGGATTTCACACTTGAGGAAAGGGGAGAGGGAACAAAATGTCACAACGCTGGGAAGCCCTTCTCAGGAAGTGGCTAACCACTCTTCCATTAGGCAGATTGGGCCCTTGGCTTCGCCTGCCACTTCCACGATCCAACCGCTGTTAGGCTCAGAGCCAATTCTGGGACACTAAGCCCTCCCCCAAATGCTTTCAGACTCTGCTACCTTCCAGTTTTCCCCATTATATCTTTTTTTTGGGGGGGGGAGGGGGATGGTACCAGGGATTGAACCCAAGGGCACTTAACACTGAACCACACCCCAGCTCCTTTTTTAAAAAAAAATCTTGAGACAGGGTCTCACTAGATTTCGTGCAGCTTTGCTAAGTTGCTGAGGCTGGCTTTGAACTTGTGATCCTCCTACTTCAGCCTCCCAAGCTGCTGGGATTTTAGGCTTATGGCTTCCCCATTTTATCTGAATCCTTATAAGGGCCATCACAGGTTTAAGTGGCTCCTCTGCCCCAACACAAGAGGGTTACTCAGGATTAGAAAAAAAGTAAGAGAGAAAGCCAGAAAGAAGGGATGAGTATCCCTATTCCTACCCAGGCCACCATTTTTTCCCATCCCCCCAGGGGGAAGGGGTAGATTCTGGGTCTCTCAAGGTGGGGTGCTGAGCTGCTTTTCAATGACTAGTCTCTGAACCAGGTTTGGAATAGGAAGGCTCATTAGAGTCTAATTTCACTGCATCCTCATGCGCTCCTCCCAGGTAGGTGCTGCTGCTCCCACCGCCTTATAAGCGAGACCCAGAGAAGTCCAGACCTGGAGGCATCTCCAGCAACTACTACCTACTGCCAAATGGACAAAAAAAAAATCCATATTCTCTCTCTCTCTCTCTCTCTCTCTCTCAATTTTGCAAAGAGCTTTGTGCTCAGGGAAGGAAATTGGGCAGATAAGCAAGGATATGTCATTGTCAGTCCCAAAGGGATGGAGGGAATCCTGATCAGACTAACAACGATCCCTTAATCTTTTCTTTCAGCTTTTCTTTTTCTGGGAACTTTAATGTAATAATGATGACACTATTACCCATCCATTTTATAGTTAGATTTATATTTGTTAAACTCCTCTCTCTCTCTACTAAAACACAATGTCTAGTTTTATTTTATTATTTTATTTTTGGTATTAGGATTGAATCCAGGGCACTTTACCACTGAGCTATGTATCCAGCTCATTTTATTGTTTTATTTTGAGTCAGGGCCTCACTAAGTTGCTTAGGGCCTTGTTAAATTTCTGAAACTGGCCTCAAATTTGGGATCCTCCTGTCTCAGCCTCCTGAGTCATTAGAATTACAGGTTTATGCCACTGTGCCTAGCAATATCTATGCCATATATGCCCATCTACACATACATAAAATATTTTTAAATTTTAAAACAATTAAAAATAAAAGAAAAATTGCTTCTGGGTCTGTCAACAACATCCCCATAGACTATTCCAAGTCCAAGCTGACTTCTGTAAGTTTCTAGGACATCTAGGCATCCAAGAGGTAGGCAGGGATCCCAGAGCCCGGTACCATAGTGGGGTAATAGGAGAAACTGTCTAGGATGCTTGTGGCTTAACTTTGGTCGACTGACATGAAGAAGCTCAGAATCATCAGGATGTTGCTACAGAGTCTGGGTCATCCAGACTCCCCAACATCCGGTGGATTTGGTGAAAACAAAAAAATAGGAGGTGGAGAGGAATACTAACCAAATCATTTCAACAAGGGTTCAGCAGCACATGGCCTCATTGGAGACATTATGACTCAAGCGAGTTGGAACTGCACAATGCCATGGTATGTCAAGCTGCAGTCCTGCAGGGGCTGAGGCACTGTCTGAGAGTCAGGAGGTCTCCTGGCATGGGGGCAAGGGCCTAGGCCCTGGGCTAGGTTGCACAGAAAGGCTGGATCAGCTGCTAGAGAGCCACAGTGATTAGGACCATTTCAACAGAGCTGAGAGCAGCCCCAGCCCTGCTTGGGGTTACTTGCTGCCATAGAAAGCCAGCGCCCAAGGCCTGAGTCCAGGTGTGAAGGGGCCCAGAGTTCTGTGGCTTGAGAACTTAAAGTACCAGAAGAGATAGGCAGAGACTACAGGGGGCAGGAGAAAGAGGAGATAGGAGCTAGCTAGGAAATGTCAAACATAGACACCCTGGGGTTCCCCTCCTTGCCAAGCCACTCTCTGAACTGCCACCACGCCCCATGTGCTTGTGGGTCTCAGCTGCACATTCTGTTGACCCCCATTTGCAAAGGCCCAGACAGTATACTCCCTTCCTTCTCCTCCCCACCCGCTTCCTATAACATATCCCTGCCCCTTGAAAACAGCAATCCAGGGAGGTTGCAGCTGATGAGGCCATACCTACCTGAAAGAGCAGGGAGCAGGTTCGTGGAGCCCAAGAGTACTCCTCTGTGAGGTCTCACAGATGCATCCAACCAAGGACCCTAAAATGAAGAAGGGGAGACATTTTATCTAGTCTTGTGCTAATCTCCCAGGCAGTCTTCCAAGGAGCACAAGGTACAGATTCTTTCCAGGGATGTTAGGCCTCAAACCAGGGACTGAAAACTTGAGACTGACATGGGGGCAGATATGCCATGTTGTCATTGGAAGAGGTGATGGGGTGGGAGGTGAGTGGCACCCAGAGGCAGGGAGCAGCATGAAGGAGTGGGAAGGGTTGAGGGTGGCAACTAGAACTGGGCAGATGTGGACTGGGGATGTAGCTCAGTGATACAGCACTTGCCTGTATGCGTGAGGTACTGGGTTTAATCCCTAGCACCACAATAAACAAATAAATAATCAAACAAACAAATAAATGAATGAATGAATGAACAAACTGGGCAAATGCAAACAGCCCCCCCCCCCCACTTAGGCCCTCCTCCTCAACTCATAGCTAAGGGAGGAAGGACCTTTTTCGAAAGGAGATCTGTTCATTCCACTGCTCCCATCCCTAGGTTTTGAGGATGCCCTGAGAAGCAGAGCCATAGGGTGGCCTGGCACACTGCTGAGAGGGGGAAGGAGATTGTTCCCCAAGCAGGATGGTAGAGGAGTCTCCAGAAGCTAGGAACCACTAGGGCTGAGATGGCTGCCCGGGGTCCTGGCCTCTTGGGATGGCTTCAAAGGCAGGTGTCTGGGTCTCCTGTCTGTGGAGCCTGGGTGTAGGCGGAGCAGATGCTGCAGGGGTTAAAAACAGCAACATATTGCTTTCAAACAGGATGTTTCCTGCCACTTTTAGCTCTTTCCCAGACATGCCTAACACTCCAGCCTTAGTAAAGGCTGAGGGAGGGCTGATTCTGGTGCCCAGACTCTGGGTCTTAGTGGCATGACAAGTCACCAAGGTGGAGCTGGCAGAATTTCACCCTCCCCACTTCTACCCATGAGACAGACAGATACACGCGCGCACACACACACACACACATACACACACACACACACTTCCTCCCTTTCTTGATGTATTACTGGGGAAATACATAGCTATGTAACCCAACCCTGAACCTTGGCAAAGGCCTTTGAGCCAAACCGCAGGTGGGGAGGGTCTTGTCACTCAGGTTTTGCTTCCCTTCAGAGACCCCTCTCTCCTAGTGACCTGACTAGACAGGGAAGGGGAGAGCTCCAAGGGGCTTCCAAGACTTGGGGACAATCCTAGAACTGCTAGCCACTGAGCCCATTTTCCACCTGTCAGGTACTGCCAGCCCCCAGGGAACATCCAAGGAAAATGCCAGTGGAGCCCAAGAGTACTCCTCTGTGAGGATGACTGACAAGCTGAGTGGGTTGGATTACTACTTCCCAGGGCCATGGGTGGTGGGAGGTATGCCTGCTAGGGACATGCTCTCCTTTGCTCCCTCTGCTCACATGACCCATGTCCCCTGGCTGACCATGCTCTTCTGGATTCTACTCAATATCCTTATGGATTTCTTGGGCTCTCTACCCAATCTTCAGGAAGACTGGGGTGAGAACAAAGTGGGAACAGAGAGGACCACTGCTTTCCTGTCCTCAGATCCTAAGGTTTTTAGAGGTCAGAGGTGATAACTACTCTTGAACTTAAAAAAAAAAAAGTTACAAAGTATCCACAGTGTGCCTGCCAAGCCTGGTAAGTGCTGCACCCTTTATTACAATTAACGCTTACAACAGTTCTGGGAGGTGCAGAGTAGTCCCATTTCAAAGGCGGCAAAACCAAAGTTTGGGGCACTTTGAGTGACTTGCCAGTCCCAGGGCCAGGCAAGTGGTGGTACCAGGCAAGGCCAAATGAGGGCAGGCTGATGGTAACACCCAAGTTCTTCCTTGGCCTCCCATTTCCATTGATGATCATCAGAGCAGGCACCTATTGCTCTGTACTGGGTCCTGCTCCAAGTTCTTCATGCATACTTACTCATTTAACCCTCACCACAACCTCATCAGGAGGGTCCTGTTATTATCTCTATCTTAGGGATGGAAAATGGAAGCATGGGAAAGTGGATCATCTTTGGAGCCAGAGTTTGAAACAAGGCAGCTTAGCTCTGAGTCTCCACTCTGCTACATTTCCTAAGAGAAATATTTTAATCATTTCCCCAGCCCCAATCCCTGGACACCCTTCACCTCCACGAAGTCAGGGAACAATGCAGAGAACAATCTCCAGGTCATGAGGGAAGAATGTTGTGGCTCTTTTCCTTCCAAGGATCCCCAGGCCAGGGGATGGCAGGCTTCAGTCAGGATCTGCTTTCCACCAATCAGCCCCTCATCTGGGGAAGCTCTGTTCAACAGATGGTCCCTTCCTTCCCACTCAACTTTTCAGTACTGGATGACTCTTTTAGGAGCGATTACCGTAGATTGAACTTCTAGATCCAAGTGCAGATTGATAAGAAAGTAGAGCAAAGACACAGAATTGAAAAGAGGACAGGTCGTAAAAATCACTTCATGTTCCCCTAATCACGTCATGCGCTCTCCCACACCCACCAGCAATCATGTTCTGAGTACAGAAAATATCCCACTGCTTTTGCAACCCCTTCCTGACCCTGCTTTAGAAATTCTGAAACCCTCAGCACTGAGCTTTGGAGAAGCAGGAGGAAGGAGCCCAACTCTGCAGAAAGTCTCTTGCTTCCATTCCTCCAGAGACTAAATCTCACGTCCAAACCTCTCTGTGACCCTGGCCTTGACCCCAGTCCCGGCAAGAAATGAGAAGATCATGTTGTTCCTTCCAGTCACGGAAACCACAACCACTGCCTGCCAACTCACACAGCAGGCACCCATCTTCCGGCAGCTTCTGTTCAATGGGCATCCTTGGGAAGAGCCTTGCCCAAGATTTTTTTTTTCCAGAAGTGGTTTTGGGGTGTCCTGAGAAGACAAGGATCAAAATCTTCATCTCCTTCCTGCCCTGGGCTCATTTTAACTCTACCACATTGATTGGACCTGCCTCTGAGTCCTGAGGATGGTATGGCTATGACTCTGAGGAGGACCCAGGGGTGGACAAGAGGCTTACCACTAATGTCTTTTCCAGATCTGAAAGTGTGTGACTCCAAGACCAGAATTCCCATCATGATGAGGACTTCAATGAAATACATTCACGGAGCTTTCTCCCTGACGCCTCAGACGAGACCCAACACACCTGTCTGAGCAACTGAGAACTACTATCCTCAGACGCTAATGACCAGGAAAGGCATGAAAGATGTGGCCCCAATGAACCCCAGTGGATAATGGGTACCCAGGAGTAGGGTTCTCAGTCAGGACGAGACCTGAGTAATCAAAACTGGAATTTCTAATTGTTGACATTGGCTCAAAGTTCCCACTCCTTCTAGAAAGAAATAGAAAGCTAAGCAATTTCACTACAGAGAAAGAGGTGTTTTTTTTTTTTTTTTCCTTAAAATTGGCACACACAGGGGCTGGGGTTGTGGCTCAGCAGTAGAGTGCTTGCCTAGCAAGTGCGGCGCTCTGAGTTCAATCCTCAGTACCACATAAAAATAAAATAAAGGTATTGTGTCCAACTACAACTAAAACAGAATATTTTTTTAAAAAATTGGCACACACAGAGGGAACCACATGTGGGACTCTCTCTGGAGCAGACAGGTCTGCGTGTCCACCCTTCTTGACAATTTTCATTTCCTCATCCTTTTGGCTTGGCCCATGGCATGCTGAGCACTGTGTGACCTACCCAGCTCTTCATCTTTCATCTCTTTATCCTATCATGTAACTGAAGCATAGTGTTATCATGGCTAGCTAAGGTGATGCCCTTTCTTCCTTCTCTACCCCTCCCCCGCCAGCATGTGCCCATTTTCTTTTCCAGAACAATCTCAGCATTATTTCCCCCACCAAAAAAAAAAAAAAAAAAAAAAAAAAAAAAAAACTGGCAGGGGGATGCTGTGGGTAGAGAAAAAATAAGGGAAAGAGGGGAGAGGATGTACTGTATAAATAGTCAGTCGTATGTAAGCTCCTACTTTGTCCTACTGTCTCCCCAGCTCCTCCATACATATATATTTTTAGACACGGGTGAGAATGGTTGAAAATCATTTTCTACAGGCTACAAGATCCAAAGCAAAAACAACAGATATTAGTCATTCCAGGAAATAGCAAGATTAGAAGACAATTTAGCACTACCTTTTCCAACCATCTTAAAATCCCTTCTTATTCTAAACAAAGGGTTTCCTGGCCTGTGCTTGAATATGTGTCCTAATGGAGAGCCATCTCCCATGGCAATCCACTCTCTCTGAATGACTGTATGCTTATAAAATGCATCACTATGCACAGCTGAAATATTCCCTGTAGCTTTCAGTTGCTGGTCCTAGACCAGCTCTGTATAGCTACAGAAGATGAACCTACTAGGCCATTTACACAAGGCCTCTAGAGGAGCACTTGGAGGGGCCACCAATTGGTATCACTGTGAAAATTAGAAAAAGAAGCTTAGTCCTCAATACACTTTTCTCCCATCAGTCAGAAAGTTGTCATTAAAAAATACAAAAATCTGCGGGGCATGATGGCACACACCTGTAATCCCAGCAGCTTGGGTATCTGAGGCAGGAGGATCACAAGTTCAAAGCCAGCCTCAGCAAAAGCAAGGCTCTAAGCAACTCTGTGAGATCCTATCTCTAAATAAAATACAAAATAGGGGTGGGGATGTGGCTCAGTAGTTGAGTGCCCCTGAGTTCAATCTCTTTTTACCCACCCCCACCCCAAAATCTACAATGCCCATGTTTGTAGTAGGGGGAGAAGGAGAAGATGGAAGATAGCCTGGGCTATCATTAATTTTGAATGAGACTTCATAAACTTGCTAGGTATGATCATGATTCCCACAACAGGAAGTAAGGCAGTTAAGTGCAGACCACATCGGCCACAGCAGCCTTCACCTGGGAAGCAGCTCCCAGCACAGGGAAAGGGCTCTTGGAAGCATGTACATAGCTGCCTGTGCTCCTGCCAATGCTCCCTGTCTCCTCTATCTGCAGTTCTGTGGTTTCCGGGGAAGATGGCCCTCAGTACCACA